AGGCCACACACACACACACACACACCCCATGAGTACACTGTGAGAGCCCATCTACACACACACACACACACACACTGTGAGTACACTGTGAGAGGCCATACACACACACACACACACACACACACACACACCGTGAATACACTGTGAGAGGCCATCTACACACACACACACCCCGTAAGTACACTGTGAGAGGCCATCTACACACACACACACACACACACCCTCCCATACGTACACTGAGAGGCCTGGGAGTACACTGGGAAGAGGCCGTCTTGGCTGACGCCTTCATGCTGAATGTTGGTGAATCTGAACAGTCCACCATTTCTGTCACGGGGAGCTCTGACGTGGTAGTCCACTTGGAGTTGGAAAGCTAACCCAAAGGTCACACCTTCCTAGAAAGTCGTGGTTGGAATCCACCAGCCGCTCTTGGGGAGAAGATGAACAGTCTCCTGTTCTGCAATTTACAGCCTGGGAAACCTGCTGGACAGTCAGCTATGATTTGGTTCCAACTCAGTGGTTGTGTCTGTTTAGCTTGTTGTTGTTATGTGCTTTCGAGTTGCTCTCAACTCATAGCGACCCTGTGAAAAACAGCCCTGAAACCTGCTCCGTCCTGTGCCAACTTTACTGTCTCCGACACACCTACCCCCATTACCCCAGTACTGTATCAATCCATCTCATCGATGGTCTCACTCTTTCTCCATCCCTCCACCCTTTCAAGCATTAGGTCCCTTTCCAAGGACCAGTTCCTCCTTATAACATGCTCAAAACATGTCAGATGAAGCCTCAGAGTCCTTGACTCCAAGGAGCAGCCTGGTTTCACCCTCTCCTTGATGAACTTGTTTGTTCTCTTAGCAGTCCATGGTATATTCAACACTCTTTTCCAGCACCACAGATCAAAGGCATCAATTCTCTTTGTATCATCCCTAGTAATTGTCTAGCTCTCTGACACATAACAAGCAATTGTGAAGACTATGGCCTGGATCAGGTGCACCTTAGTCTCCAGGCTGACATCACTGCTCTTCTGTTCTCTAAAGAGATCCATGACAGCAGACTTTCCCAGAGCAATTCATTTCTTGATTTCCTGGCTGCTGGGACCAAGAGTGTTGATTGTGGAGTCAAGCAAACTGAAGCTGTGAACAATCTCAATCGCTTCACCATCTATCATGATGCTACCAATTGGCCCAGCGGTGAGAACCTTTGTCTTCTTGATGTTGAGATTCAACCCATATTGAAGGCTTCAGTCCCTGACCTTCTGCAGCATGTGACTCAGGTCCTCCTCAGTTTCAGCAAGCAGGGTAGTGTCATCTGCGTAACACAGATTGTTGATAAATCTTTCTCCAATCCTGATGCCACAGTTTTCCTCATAGAGCCCAGCCTCCCGGATGAACTGCTCTGCACATAGATTGAAAAGGTATGGAGACAGAATACATCCCTTTCTGATTTTGAACCCTGCAGTGTCTCCTTGTTCTGTTCTGACGACTGCCTCCTAGTCATAAGGTCACAAGGTCGCTGTGAGTTGTGGCCAACAACAGACCACATGAAGTACCTGCTCTCTTGCCCACAACTCACGTTTACAGCCGACGGGTTCAAGACAAGCTTACATCCAAACCAAACCAAGCACGTTGTGGTGACAGCAAACGTGGAGACAAACAAGATCTGGAAGTTAGGGATCTGGAAAACAGGACGAGAAGAGGTTTTAAACAGCAGGTGCTCAACCATGCCTCACGTCATTCTGGAGCCCTGCAAGGCGGGGCCTCGGGGAGACAGACTCCCAGCAGGAGGTCCCAGGGACAGCCCTGTGGTGGGGAGAGGGCATGTCCCCGCCGGACAGCTGTGGGCAGCTCCTGCACTGTGCTCCTCACATGTGTGCACACTCACTGCCACACACACACACGGACCTACACACCCATACGTGTGCACACATGTACGTACCTGAGCACATGCACAAATGCCTCTCACTCCACCTTCTTGCCCGCTGTGAGCCTCGGGGTCACCTAGCCAGGCAGGGGGCGTGGACAGGAGGACAGGGGCTGGGGCAAGGGGTGGGACTCACCGCATTGACCCTTCTCTTCGTCACAGCAAAGCTCACAATTGCAGCGGGCACACACTGGGGGTCAGAGAGAGAGAGAGGGAGCAGAGTTTTACTTTGATGGTTAAGCTTCCAGAAAGATCCAAATCAAGTGGGCAAAGTATCTCCAATCCACTAGATATGAGGGGACTTGCTCAACTTTGAGGAACATTCACTCTTTGCAATAGTTTATTCTGGAAAGTTTATTTTCTGATAAGCTTCAGGGAGGAAGTCACTCCTGCTCTTGGGGCCATGCAGGCCACAGCTTAGACCACAAGGCAGACATCAATGATAGTGACCACTACAGAAAGGACACCCTGCCAGGGAAGTCAATGGGAGAGCAGGACTCAGGGCTCCTGCCCAAGACCAAGGAGGGCCAGTGTGGGGGTCAGCTGGGAGCTGAGGGACTTGGACAAGGCAGCACACAAGAACAGGGACCAGAGCAAGCAGGGTGAGGCTCAGATCCTGCCTGGGGTGAAAGTCCCCAGGACACTGGTGTCCAGCCCTATGGACACTGAGTGGTCCCCATCCTGACACTGGGGGGCATCTTGCAGATGGGAAGCCTGAGACTCTTGGGAAGAACTAGGGGGCTTCTGAAGACAGGGGAGCCTGGGGCCCCCGGGAGGAGGGAGGCAGGGAGGCCGAGGCACTCCCAGGCTTGGAGCCTGAGCACAAATCATGATAAACTGAGAGGAGGGCTGGCCCGCTCAGTTGTGGAGGACACAGTGTTGCTGAGAAGAGCTGCCTGCAGTGGAAAGAGGGTGTGGGGGACAGGGGTGGACAAGGAGGCTGGGACCTGGGCAGTAGCGCCACTGGCTCCAGTTCCCAAGTGCCTGAGACTTCCAGAGGGACTTCCCCAGGAGCGAGCACAGAAGGCCCAAAAGCTCAGTCCAGCAAGGCCTGGGTCAAGTTCCTTCAGAGTCTGTTCTGAGGAGTGGGCCGCGGCAACATGGTGAGGCCCACGAGGTGGGGCCCTTTTGTTTTTCAGGACTGCCCTCATTAAGCAGTGGGAGACTTGGGGGGATTTGCAGTCAGGAGAGGAAAGGGTCTCCAGCTGAGAGTTTAGGCCCTTAGGAGGCCAGAAAAGTTACCCCAGTCCAGTGCTACAGGTGTGTCCTACAGGGGCGTGCTGCAGGTGGATGCTCCAGGTTTGTGCTGCAGGTGCGTGCAGCAGGTGTGTCCTATAAGTGTGTCCTTCAGGTGCATGCTGCGTGTGGCTGTTACAGGTGCATACTGCATATATGTGCTGCGTGTGCATGCTGCAGTACCTGCTGCAGGTGCTTGCTGCACAAGTAGCAAGACTCACACTTTGTTACTTTTCAAAAGTAACAAATTCTGCCTGACTTCACATCTCAAGAGGAGAGGGGGTTGGGTACAAGGAGGTAGGGTACAGGCTGCAGAGTACGTGAGAGCATGTCACACAGCAGCAGGAAGGGGCTGGAACTTACAGAACCAGCTGCACAGCGCAGGTAGTCCATCTCCGAAGGAAACACGTTTCCCAGGTAAAGTGAAAAGCCGGAGGTTACTAGGAGGCAGCTCTGCAGAAGGGAACACCAAGGTCAAAGAGCGGCTGTTGCTGAAAAGGAAGCAGCTGGGAAACAGGGCCCCTTGGTTATAATATAACAGGTGTGAGAGTCAGGGAGTGGACAGCGTCGTCCCAGTACACACCTGTATCAGGGCCCCACTGCCCAGCTCCTCCTGAAGCACGCTCCCCACCCCACCAGGTGCCAAGCACTGAAGCTTGATAGTGGAGGAGGGACTCTGAAAATCTGAAGATATAGTATCTATCACCCTGAAAGCACCTACACCCAACAGGGGCCAGCTCAGGGGCTTTGGGGCCCCTCCAGAAAACCCAGCATGCTCCCCGTGCAGACATGACCCCTCTGAGGAATACCACGACACTCCAGCCCATGATCCGCTCAGATCCGTGTGGGCACCCCCTCCCCTTCTCCCATGTGGCGCAAGGGAGACTTTCAAGACCACAAAGTCCCACCCTGTACCTCTTGCACCCAGGCCCTGCAGAACCCCCTCATGCATCCTTCCGCCAACTGGCAATACCCTGCATGCAGTCCTCGCTCCTCTCTGTTCAATTCTATCTCCACACACCCCTCAGGGCAGGGAGGGGCTGCCTACTGGGCTCTCCACCTGCTCCAGCCCCATGGCTTTTCAAAGCTCTTTCCCCCCAAGACTATTCCACTCTAGAGCTTCAGGCTTCCACCCTCACCTCCTTCAGTCTTCAAACAAACACTCATGGGTGGACAAAGGCATCCTGACCACCTTCCCCACCCCTCAGCGCCCTGGCCCCACTTACTACACCTCTGGTTCTTACTGTCTCTGAGCCTTCACAGCACCCAGCCCTAAGGTGACACACATAGTTCATGTCATCAGAGCTCCCTGCTGCATCTCACTGGAGACCCGGGGAGTCAGCATACCCGAGCCAGGCGCTTGCCAACTGTAGTGTCACACGCACACACCAGGTACAGGCATGTACACCGGCACACGGTGGTCATACATATGTGTACAAGCCACACACATGACATTCATAACACACGTGTGTATCAATAACATGCATGCACATTAGCAGACACATGAAGACCCACCACACACATGCACCTACCACACACATGTGC